AAAAAAAAAAAACTTATGCATCTACTTTTGATGACAGGAAACGCACGGACTATGTTAAGATATCTTTCTTAAGCAAGGACGGTGGCAAATTCACAAATGTTAAGTCACCTTCTTTTTAATTACACAGTGGATGGAAAATGGGGCCGCTGGACCAAATGGAGTGCGTGCTCAAAAACCTGTGGAGGGTACGGAAAACGTACGAGGGATCGGCAATGTGACAGCCCTCCTCCAGCGCATGGAGGAAGAGATTGCATAGGCAGTAATATGGGCATGGTTTACTGTAACACGTACATACCTTGTCAAGGTGAGCTGGATACTTTTGATTAGAATAAACCGAAAATACCAATTACAGAACATGTGTTTGAGAAAATTAGTTCATATTTTAATGGCTAAAAGCGGGCCAATTTATCGCTAATTGTAAATTTGCACGGCAGTTCAAATTAACGCTCGCGCGTTTGTGATATTGTTAGTCATATAATAAATGAGTAATGGTGCGAAAGCTCGAGTACAATTAAGGAATTACACTAGTCGTGATATTTGAATTTTTTTTTCAAATTGCACTCGTCTAAAGGTTCGTGCACTTTTAGAATAATTTGTTAATATCATTCGCAGTGTTGATCCTTAAAGGGGCCCTGGTCAGCCACACCTTTGTTTTTGTTTACATGCGCGAGTTTGGCTATAATCGTTTATTCGGAGCATGTCGAAACGAAGGAAATCACCGTGAAACTACTAAAGATAACAAAACATATACTTTCAGGAACACAACTTACAGTAAAGCAATAAGATTTCGCTTCACCATGCAATATCAAAAATTTCGATGGCACCGAAAATGGCGGAAGCTGACTAGGGTCCTTTCATTGGGCATTCGTATGGTCACCTTTACTAATCTCCCATATAGGTTTATTCTCAAAGTAATCTCTCTCAAGTATTTACATCAAGAAATGGTTTCCAAACTTCCCGTGGCGTGATTACTGTAATATTACCACGCGCGTTGCGTGGATGTTTTCGTGGAGGATGAAAATGCGTGTGAAGCCAGTTGGGCTGTCTGTGTGTTTAAGATTAGCATCACAGGATCGTAATTATAATTAGTAACAGAGGTTTTAAGTCTGGTAGTATAGTAAATTAGACCAATTTCGATATATGAAAAGTATAACTTGGCGCCAAGGTTTAGGGGATTGAAACAAAAGATTTCATATCGAGGGATGAATCCCATGTATAAAAATTTGCCTATTATCTTGTGAATAATTCTTAACCTTTATAAAGACGGATAATAAATGCCACTGAGATATCTGTTCATGTTTAACGTGTTCAAGTCCTTTGATTGGGTACCCTGTGAATAATTTTCGACATCATAAAGTTGCCTTCTTTATTCAACATCTGTTTTGACATTTTTATTGTGAAGAAACTGAATGTAGAGACGTAATATTTGTAGCTAAGCATTTATTTCTTTTATTTTCTTCCAGTGACCTGCAATGTTCCTCTTGACTTTGCCATCATCGTAGATACATCGGGTAGCATTTCAAGAAGGAATTTCAAACTTCTGTTGCGCTTTATTCGTAGCCTTGTAAACAGTTTTCAAGTGTCGGAAGATCACACGCACATTGCAATTATCGAATATAGTACCGGAGCTTCAGTGCAACTCAGATTCAATGACTTACCAGGAAGTAAACTTACAAAGAACAATGTATATGAAATAGTGAAAAGGATTCCACACAAACGAGGCAAAACCTATATCGACAGAGCGTTACGTCTGGCAAACGATGAAGTGTTCACTTTGAAGGGTGGAATGAGAGATGATGTGAGAAAGGTAAGCTGGTTTGCCTGTGACATCAATGGAATAAGCAGAAGTGGGATATTAGGGTTATACAGTCGAACCTCCAGTAAGCGACCACCCAAAATGTCAAGCCTAGGTGGTCGCTTACGGGGGGTGGTCGCTTACGAGAGCTTTGACAATATTGGGTCAAAATTTTGCCTCATAAGCGTATAGTAACTGGTGATACTTACCCCATGCGCCAATGCTATCTGTCTAATTACCATAGCAATAGTGTGACCCGCTAAAAACATCCTTAATTACAGCTTTAGGGGCTTGTAATTCAAAAATAGTATGGCGAAATTTTTTTATATTATCCAATTTTAATAAGCATGGTGAGAGGCAACTTTTGGCAAAGTTTAAAAAAATGTACATAGGTAATGAAGGGTGTTTTTAGAGGCTCATACTGTTGCTATGGTAACCTATTGTGTCACGAAGTTCACCAATAATTGGGTAGTTTTTTGATACCATGATTGCAGCATCAGGTGAAACACACAATGGATTTAGAGGTTCGACTGTACGTTTGTTCTCTTAAAAAAAGGGTCAATTCTTTTTTATGTTTTCGTTGGCTTTTCCGGCGCACCTTGTTTCTTTATATGTAAGGTTTCATTTGCTTCTTGTGTTAGGTCGCTCTTGTGATGACTGACGGTGCACAAACAGAGGAAACGAACGCTAAAAAGTCAGTCGACGAGATCCTCGCCGAAGCTTCGCAACCTCTTAAAGACAAAAAGGTCCACATTATTTCACTTGGAATCGGAAAACGAGTCAACAAATTAAGTTTGAAAACCATCGCAACCGGAGACAGTGTCTATTATGCAGAATCATTTAATGCACTCAGACAACTGGTAAAACAATTGAGAAAGGGATCCTGCACTGGTAAGAGAATACGGTGTAGAAACTGTTACAAATAGGCCCCCTGAACTGTCCTCTGATCTATTTGGCATCTTAGGTGGTTGGAATGAAGTATTGCTACAAAATAAGAGCAGTATAAGTTCAATTTAGTCCCAACTTCACACAAGAAACCCATTCAAATAGGCTACTTATTTTGTTATGTGCATTTTCACTTAAGATAAAAAGCATTGCTGTTGTTACATTTTTT